AATTATAGCAGTACAAGTGAAAAACAAATGGAAGAGGTCACAAAAAAATAATCTCTAAGGTGCAAAAAGAAATGATTATCAAAATAAAAGACATCAAAGCAGACACAGATAAACAAATAGAGGTGCTCAGGAAAATGATGGAAATGATAATGCTGATACAACATGCTGAAACTTATGGGATGCAATGAAAGCAGTCCTACAAGGGAAATTTATAGCAATGAACTCACACATCCAGAAAACAGAATGAGCTCAAATAAACAACCTAATACTGAACCTCAAACCTCTAGAAAAAGAAGAAAAAAAATCAAACCTAAAGCTTGTATGAGGGGGGAAATTATAAAGGCAGAAATGAATGCAATAGAGACTCAGAAAACAATACAATAATCAATGAATTGGAAAGTTAGTTCTTTGAAAGAATAAATTAAAATTTATAAAGCATTAGTGAACCTCACCAAAAAGAGAAAAGAAAAAACACAAATCCAAGCAATTAGGAATGAAAAGGGGGAAATCACAATGGATCCCACAAACATCCAGGAGATTATCAATACCTACCATGAGAACCTATATTCTAATAAGATGAAAAATACAGAAGAAATGGACATATTCCTTGACACAATCGAATTGCCAAAACTAAATCAAGAAGATATAGAAATTCTAAATAAATTGTTATAAGCCAATGAAATTGAAAATGTGATTACCAACAAAGAAAATTTACGAAAAAAAGAAAAGCCCAGGCCCTGATGGTTTCACTGTTGAACTAGTGCCACTAATGCTGAGGCTCTTTAAAGAAACTGAAAGGGAAACAGTACTTCCAAAGTAATTTCTGGAAGCAAGAATTACCCTGATTCCAAAACCAGAGAAGAACCCAACCAAGAAAGAAAACTACAGGCTAATTTCCCTAATGAACATTGATGCAAAAATCCTTAGTAAGAATGCAGCAAATAATCAAGAGATTATACATCATGACCAAGTAGGATTCATTCCAGGGATGCAGGGATGGGTCAACATATGCAAATCAATAAATGTAACACATCATATTAACAGATTCAAAGACAAAAATCATATGATCATCTCAACAGATGCAGAAAAAGCACTGAACAAAGTCCAGCATGTATTCATGACAAAAACCTACAGAAAGCTGGAATAGATGCTCTTTGTTTCAATCTTGTAAAATCCATCTATGACAAACCAGTAGCTAACATCATATTAAAGGGCAGAAAACGGAAAGCTTTCAATCTAAAATCAGCAATAAGACACAGACGTCCATTATCACCACTCCTATTTAATACAGTTCTGGAAACAATGGTATGAGAAACTACATAAGAGGAAATAATAAAAGAAATAAAGATAGGGAGGGAAGAAGTTACATGATCATTATTCACAGATGACATGATACTCTACATAAAGGATCCCATACTCTACCAAAAAACCTGTAGATTTAATATCCAAATTTAGTAGTATAGTGGGATACAAATCAACACTCAAAAATCAATGGCATTCTTGTACACAAGGAACAAACTCACTGGGAGAGAAATTAGGGAAAACACACCCTGTACAATAGCGTCTAAAAAAACGAAATACTTAAGGATTAATCTAACAAAGGATTTAAAAGATCTGTGTAGTGAAAATTACAGTACCCTTAAAAAGGAGATTGAAGAGGATATCAGAAAATGGAAAGATATCCCGTGCTCTTGGTTAGGAAGAACCAACATAGTGAAAATGGCCATACTAACAAAACTTCTATATAGATTTAATGCAATCCCAATCAAAAGACCCTTACCTCACAGATCTAGAGAAAACATTCCTAAAATGCATTTGGAACCAGAAAAGGCCTAGAATAGTAAAATCAATTTTGGGCAACAAAAACATGTCAGGGGGCATCACAATCCCAGACCTGAAATTATACTACAAAGCTACTGTGATAAAATCAGCATGGTACTGGCAAAAAAACAAAAAAAACAAAAACAACAACAACAAAAAAACGAGGGCTGAGAATCAGTGGAACAGAATAGAAGATGCAGACACAACCTCAAACATACTGAGCCACCTTATCTTTGACAAAGGAGTCAAATATGTTCACTGGAAGAAAGACAATCTCTTTAATAAATGGTTCTTGAAAATCTGGCTTTCCACTTGCCAAAGACTAAAACTAGACCCATGTCTATCACCATGCACTTAACTAAAGTCAAAGTGGATCAAAGATGTAAATATTAAAATAGAAACACTAAATTTACTGGAAGAGAAAATAGGCAGAAATCTTGATGATATAGGGGTAGGCAGAGACTTGTGAACAAAACCAAGACTGCAAAGTACAAAGTAAATAGCACAAAGAATCAACAAATGGGATCTCACCTTATTAAAAAGTTTTTGCACAACAAAAGAAATCGCTGACAGATTGAAAAGACAACCCATAGAGTGGGAAAAAAATTATAGCCAGTTGTCCCACAGACAAAAGACTTCTATCTAGAAGAATTGAAAAAAACCAGATCCCCCAAATTCATAGATCCAATCCAAAAATAGGCATCTGAGATGAATATGCACTTCTCAGATGAAGAAATACAAATGGCAAATAAATACATGAAAAATGTTCAACATCATTGGTCATTTGTGAGATGCAAATTAAAACAACACTGAGATTCCATCTCGCTCCAGAAACAATGGCTATCATGAAAAAAATCAACCAATAACAAATGCTGAAAGGGCTGTCACAAAAAAGGTATACTTCTTCACTATTGGGGGGAGTGTAGACTGGTGCAACTATTGTGGAAATCAGTGTAAAAATTCCTTAAAAACTAGGATTAGAGGTCCTGTTCAAACCAGCTATTCCCCTTCTGGGTATCTTCCCAAAAGAATTAAAAACATCATACCACATTGGTATATGTGTTCCCATGTTTATAGCAGCATAATTTGTAATAGGTAAATCTTAGAAACAACCCAAATGCCTATCAACCGAGGAATGGATTAAAAAAATGTATTCTTTTCATACAATGGAGTACTATTCAGCCATAAAGAAGGATAAACTGGAGACTTTTATAGGTAAATGGATGCAACTGGAGAAAATACTCAGAAGTGAAACAAATCAGACCCATATGTGCAATCACTATATTGTCTCAATAGTGTGAGAAACTGAATGAGTAAGTAAGATCCAAAATGCACAATAGATATAGTTAATTGGGAAGAAACTGTTGAAAAGTAAAGACAAACTGTGAAAGGAGAAGGGGAAAGGAATAAAGAGAAAAAGAAAAAAAATGTATACACAAGATAGCTAACATATTATACTGCTAGATTCTCTTAGTTAATTGAATAGGAAGTTTTGTGCTGATATTGTTTGGACACGATATCATGCCTATATCTTGTACCCTGAATAAGTACTACAAAACCAACAATACTTAATGTATCAACTATCGTAACTATCCTGTTAACCTTGTTTTCAAGCTTGGTTTCACTGTTTATCTTTTTTTATTTAAAATTTAAAAAGTGAGGGAGCATGAAATAAAAAAAAACCCTTTAACTATTTTAAAGCACCTACTGTGTGCTAGGCATTATCCTAAGCATGACTGGCTCTAGGAGTTAGTCTAATTTTATGCATGGGGAAATTAAAGAAATAGGCTTGGAAGGCAGGCAGATTGAATCCATAGTCTGCCATCTTAGCCACTCTGCACTAACGTACATTGACCCCTGATTTGCCCCACTAGCCACTTAAAGCCTAAGGAGATTTATGGTCCAATCATTCTAGCCCTTGAAGAATTCCTGGTCATTTGTTTCCGTCACTGTTAGTATAATAGAGAAGGATACAGTATCACCAAATACAGCCTGCATTATGCATTATAGTTTGATATAACAGTTATATGCTTCTGCCACATAGGGAATTTAGGCTCGCTTCATTTCTCATTCATATACCCTTTTTTCTTCATGTTTGATTGCTTTAATGCTTCTTTCTTAGTGTTTAATATAATAACATGTCTTAATTTATTATTAATATTATTATTGCCTAACCAACCTCACCCCTATTATAACCTATAAGGATTTAAAATCTGGCCTAGAATTATGAAAATTATTTGGGGAGGGAGGGAGTACTCTATAAACAAGTGGCACAACAAAGTGGCATCACTCTAGATCTATTTATCAACATGAATGAGCCTGTGAACCACCTGGGGATTTTGTGAAAATGTGGCTTCTGATTCACTAGTCTAAGCTGGGGCTTGACATTCCGGAATTCTAAATAATTCCTAGATTACACAAAGCAAACTTTGCATAACAGGATTCCAGATTCTCCTGGTCTTGTGCTTTTAAGTAGGATCACAATTAAAATGAATCTGGGGAGATTAATGTTTAGGCTGTCAAAAAAAGCCATTGCAGGCTCCTGAAGATAGCAATTCCCTAATGTCTTCACAAAATCACTATAATGGTTAATTAGTTCTGACTGTCCAGGAAGCTTGCTTGTATGTAAACTAAATTCTTCAGCTGTGTTTTTTTTCTTCTGATTTTATCTTTAGTGGGGATGAAGTTAGTCTACCATGCACATTCTCTTATGGATTATTATGTTTATGCATATAGTTATAAATGAAGTTATTCAATGTTAAACTCTTTGGCTGCTGTCCCTGCCATCTCCTTTCTTCCTCTTTAGGAATCTAAGATTTTGAGGGTGTCTAAACTAGTTCTCTTTCCATATCTATGCTTACTTGACTCCTCTAAGAAATCAATAAAATTGGACAGGCTTTGTAATTGCCAAAATCCTGTTGCCTTTTAGTCCAGTTGGATGTTTAAATGTTCAATGAGCCTATCCTACATCAGATTCACCCCCAGATTGCCCATAGTGCAATCAGGAGTGTACTAGTAACTATTGGCCACCCAACCTACAAAGCTCATATTACAAAAATGCACACTCTATGCAGAATCTGGTAAATGTCAACTTCAAAATAAGTTGTGTCATACTGTTACATTTACTGTCACATGGTCAATAAAAAGAAGTGCTTGAAAGGTGATTAAAAATAACTTACCAGGTAAAATTGGTTGTCCAGCAATTCCCAGCGGTGCCATTCCAAGATTATTCATTGCTGTGGTCCATGCAGTTGGATCAGACATAGGTAGCGTCATTGCAGTGGAATCTACATTCAGAGCTCTATTATTATCAGCTGAAAAGAAATGACAGGCCAAATAATTTGTCATTTTAAGGTTCTAGTATCTAGTTTTCTTATCAGTGTAAACTCTGGCAAAGCCTTTACAGAAATGATCTGATGGACAAGTAGTGGATAAGCCCACAATGCCATCTTTCTTACAAGGATTAAAACAACACAGATTAAACTGGCAGGAAGTTATGAAATTTAAAAGCAATTTACCAGATGGCATTTTACTGTAAGTTTTTCCTTCTCTCACTCCTCCCTACACTTTTTCCCAAGCATACACAACACAGGAGTTTGGGATGATTAAGAAGTTTCCTATTCTTCTCAGTCTACTAGCATATGATTACTTCAGCAGCTTCCACTCAAACTACTCATGCATGCAAACCAAGAATAAAAAAGCCTAGGGCTTCTGTCGTTGGCAATAAAATATGAAAATTATAGTCCTGATGCAATTTCATATCTTTGAGGCAGTACTACTGAAAAGAGCTGAGCAAACCATCAGCAGACATCAAACTAGCCAACTGAGTTTTGGGGAGTTAGGGAAATACCAGCCAAAAAGCAGGCAGGAGACATGGCCCCTGCTTCAAACACTGTACAATTGAGCTGAAGAGATCGATGATGATGGTAATGATTATTACTATTAGCACTACTATCCCCACATTCACCTATCACTGCCACCAATTACTGAACACATACCATATGCCAGTAAAGCACCTGGCATGCATTATCTTCCTTTAACTTTGAGAGCAATCCTATATGAGAGGAAACATTTCATTTAATAAGTGAGAAGTTTTGAAAGATGCATGTATTCTCCAAGATCATACAGGAAGAACATTTTTTGTCACTATTGGCTTTACTATATCCAATTAAGTAATGAGAAAACAATGAAGTCCTTGAATGGTATAGACCAGATTACTAAAATTGAAGGAATAAGGTGCTACTGTGGTCTGAGTAGGTACAAAATACTTCATAGAGAAGATGGAATTTGGAAGAATGGCTCAGATTGCCATGGAATATGTCTTAAGTGATGGGTAGGTATTAGGTAAAGAAGAGGGGGTAAGACATCCCAGAAACAGAGAGGCCACAAACAAAGACATTGAAGTGGGTTATATATGCAAGTGCATGTATCTATTGCACAAGTAGGAGAGATATGGCTAGAAGTCATCTGAGCATAAAAAACTAAATTTTGGAAATTTTCCTCTATCTACAGATAGCCACAGGGGTAAAATCAAATCTGTCTATGGTCTTTTTCCTACTTCCCAGTATGTATTTCTGTCAATTACATCCCAGAAGGCAACTCTGTTCTAATAGTAACTTGCTAATGTCCATGCCGTCCTTTCAGCCTGGCAACATCAGGGATGATACTTGGCCAAGTTATTTAATACATGTGTTATTTTGATCACTGGTCAGAATTAGCAAATGCAAATGCAAGTGCCCAAAGACCTAATTTCTAAAACATTAGTTTTTGTCATTCTGCTGTGCACCCTTTGCCTCCTCCCAGACAAAGCATGCGTGCATGTGCGCACATGCACATACACACACGTATGCGTGCACACACATACACCCTCCCTAGACACAGAGTGATTGATGGCTCTAAGCATTCATTATTGCAGTCAGAAGGCACATTTCAGTGCTGGTGATTTCTTCATCTGTGGGAACTCTAGTCCTCACACTCAGTTTTCTGTGCTCTCTCATGAAGGTGTATCTTAAATCTAGAAAGAGCTTCCCTATAAATATTCTGAAGAAAACAGATACAAGACATCAAATAGCCCTTGGGTCAAGTGTTTACATTGTAATAATGAGGTCCACCTACACTTTTAATCCCCAGAGAGGAGAGACAAAGGTTTAGGGAATGTTATAACTGGAAGGGACCTTTAACTATTACCAAGTTTGTACCCTGCTTTTCATGGTGACTGGAGAATGACTCCTAGAGAACACAGGTAGGCTTAGAAGAGGGGGGCTGCAATTGCCAAAATAATTTGTTTTTGGCAGCAGATTGGCTACTCATTGGTTCCACATCCCTAGGAAATATAATGAAACCAGGAATTCTTCTTGACACAGGATTCTGAGATCAAATAATGAGAATTTACCATGTATCAACCTAGCCAAACTTTGACTAAGTTGGCTTGAGGGTGGGGAGAATGATCTGGATGGTCATGTTTTTAAAAAGAGGACAACACAGTATTGTTTTAGAATATATATGAATTCCAAGTGTCTTTAAAAATGTTAGCAATAGCGTTTGTCCTAAGACTTGTGTTCATATACAGACAAGGAATGTGTACAACTAATGACATTATTTGTCACAAAGCAGTTCTTAATACTGAAGAAGTTCTGCTTTAAGTACCCTTCTCATCTCCCTCCCTTCCCCCAACACTCATCTCCACCTGTCAAATCCTACTCGCTTTTCAAGGGTCATCTCAAGCCACCTTGGCTGTGAAGGCATCTGACTGGAACTATTCCCTTCTATATGTTTTTCTAACAGTTTGTCTAGAATTTGATTTTTATAGTTGTTTATTCTCTCACTCCTTTCCTCTAGTCTAAATTTTTTGTCTTACTATGTACCAGGTAGAGACTAGAAACTAGGGACTAGGGATACAAACATTAAAAACAAAACAACAAAAACTCATTTACTGCTCTGGAAGAACTTGCAATATTGTGAGAGGCACAGAAATATAAACAACCAAGTAAAAATTATTGTAATCATTACTGTGATAAAACATGAATAAAGGGCTATGGGAACACAGAGGAATAATTAAAGTTATAGAAATGGGTTTGGGTGTGTGTGTTTGGGGTGGGAGGGTGAAGGAGATGAAGAATGCTAGAGATGATTTCATTGAGAAAGAAGCATTTGAAATGAGTCCTTAAGGAGGAATACAATTTTCTTCCAAACAGTGAATGGAGGATTAAGTTAGAAGAGCATTCCAGGAAGCAAGAACAACTATGTATTTACCACTGACTGCCTTGAGTGATAGCTATTGGGTACAAGTCCCTCTTTTGATAGTTTGCAGTACCTTTAGGTCAGGCGCAGGGTTTCAGCCATCTTTGTTCCCTCATTTATTAGTTGAGTGTCTCATAGAATGTGGATAGTTAAATATTTGAGTAAATGACAAAAAATCAAGTTATGTTGATGTTGAGTGTAATAAGCAATCTATGCAATGACATTCATTGATTATTTGTATATCTGTTCAGCATGGTAATTTGTCTTAAAAGTGATGATATTATTGCTATACTGATTTTCTCTCTAGGACAACTGTAGGAATTTGCTGAGAGTTACAACCAGGGACAGATATGTGCAAGTAATAATTCAGTTCAATCTCATTAACTACAAGCATAATGGTACATATAAGCAAACTTATAAAATTTTACTTTCAAAGAGAAATCCCCAAATGATCATCTCTGTTTGGTAGCAATCTGGATTTAAGGTCACTAACAAAACATGCTATGTTAAATATCTGCTTAGAATCATCACTGAGTGTTGCAAATTTTAAGTCCTGACCTGATTTATTTTCTGTACTAGACAGGGACATTTAGTAAAATTTTTAAATGTTTTATCAGATTAGTCCCACATCATCAGAGGAAGAGATTACTCATTTTCCCACGACTCCTACAATTACTGGTAGCAGCCGAGAATACTGAGTAGCTAATTGCTAGTGAGTATCAAATGGTCTTCAAAATACCTTCCCTAAGTCTGAAGAACATGTTCTGGCATGCTGGTTTCCAACTCTGCTTTGTGACAACTCCTTAGGAGGTCAAAGGTTGTAGAGTAGTCATGAATAAGTGTCTTCTAGCCTACTGGATCAAAGATATGGCACTTTAGAATAATGCATTAGCACAAAAAAGATTTGGATGCGTTCTTTCATTTTAACTTGGTATCACACCATCATCAGATCAGTGCCATCTGTTTATTTTATTATTATTTTTTTTTATTTTAAGGATAAAAGGAGGGAAACATTAACAGACATACAACATTTTACAACATATCACAAGCACAATACAGACAATACA